CCCTCCAAGCAGGACTTACACCTCTGAGCTCAGCCTACGTATCTCAGGTGCCTCTGGGGTCCTGGGTGATGACAGGAACCCCAGCAGCAAACCCCAAACTTTCTTCATATGGCCTTCTCAAAGGCAAGAAAGGCTGATGGTGAGAGCAGAGGCCTCTCCAACCGCGTTTCCTTCCCCTGACAGGAGGCCGTGGTGGAGGAGCCGCGGGGGAGCTGGGCGAGCTTTAGCAGGACAATAGCCCGGGCGACATCCTGAGGCGGTAAGGCATCGCATGGCGTTGGACAGGAGCATTCAAGTCTTCTTCGAGAATTTGGCACGTGGACATTTTACTGGACATTTCTCTTTGTGCAAGATAAAGTGATTGATACGTACAACTGACAACAGTAAACAAACGATCTGCTGCATTTTGTTAACTTCTGGGAGCACGTTCTTTAAGGGCAATTAATGATTTTTCATCAAACAATAAGAAAGACAAGTCATAAAGTAGCTGCAGAACACCCTCACCGCCCTGCCTTTAATTCCCCGGTGTGCTTCCCACCATGTGGGACTTGACTCTGGAGTCTTGTGTTTGTCCCTGGATGGGATTTTTTGGGAGAGCAAGGACATGTTGACCTACCTGGCATTAGCAGAAATGAAGAAACCTATATTTCAACGATCTGTTATGAAAAGCTTATTTTTGAACTAATAAGCTAATGCAGATTTGAGCTAAAGGGTACAGATTAATACGAAATGAATAATGAAAGACACTCATGAATTTATGTCATAGCTACCTGCATGACATTTGGTAGTTTACCAAATTCTTACCTATCTGTATCCCATAACATCTGATTTCTTATGGCAATATTCTTTTCTCTCTTGTTTGTGTATGCTGTCACCATGCCTCTGAAGGAGTAACTTTTATTTATAAATTTTGTTTATAAATTTACGTATGTTTCTCTAGAGATAATGTCAAATCATGTGAAACAATATCCTATAAATATTGTATAAATACATTTGACTCCATAAGGAATTTATTATATTTTCAAATTGAGGAATGTTTTCATAATCAAATATTAGGGATAACAAACTGCTTTTCCCAGGGGGCAAAAATATATTATTTTGAAAGATGATACATTTTAACCACTTTTCTATTTGTAGTCAGAAATGAATTTATAGCTATCGCAATCTTATCAGTTTCAGCTACATTATGGTTATTTTCTGCATGAAAAAAGTTGATGTGACTTTTTTAAAGTATGGTTGCAAAGTGATTTCTAATGGATAAATAATGTGGATGGGTAATTTATGAATAAATAATGTTTTTATGCTAAAAGCAATCTTAAATGTTTGCAAGAAAAATTGTTTAATTACATGTACCATTAAGATGGCTCTTTTGCAATAGTTATGTGACAACTCATTAACAGAGTTCTTCACAGACAGGGCAAGACTATTATTACTATGTTGCTTATGAAAGCTTCTGATTAAGAGAGCAGTGAAAAATTATTAATATTTTGTTGCCAATCAAGGTACCACATAAAAATGATTTAAGTAATGCACTTAGACAACCAGGCTTTATAGCAATCTTCAACCTTTCAGTCCTGTGCAAATTTAGGATTATCTAGGTTTTTGTTAACCACCTTTGTCACTTCTAGCATTAATCTGGAACACAGTCAACCTTCCCACATCACATTTGTCATGAATCTGGAGAGAATAAAGCCACGAAGGACTTTTCAGCGGTGTCTCTCCTATGCTGCTCTCACACCTAGTTGGAAGGATTCTGTTTTTTCCAGAGCTGGGCTTCTATTTTCAACTGATTTCTTGAATTAGCATTTAGAAGAGAAAGAGTTTAATTGAAATATAATACGAGGATTTTTCCGAGTGTGCGAATATCCTGCAGGTTTGTATGTGATTACCATTGTGCCAAGAGCAGGGAGGATTTTCTTGAAGTTAAAAAGGTACAATTAATCTCCTGTTGCACTTCCAATTAGCCAAATTGCTAACCTTATTGTGAAAAACAGAAATGCAATCGAGTTTCTGCTTGAGGCAGACTAAAAGAAAGCTGAAGTAATTTAATTAACTGACTTCAAGTATATTAAGAAGCACACTGCCTTTACTTTCTGGCTGTCAATGCCTTTAAAAAGATTATTGTTTAATGTGAGTTTTTATACCCATGAAACGCTGAAGCTTTGAACTCTCTGCTGACGACGACCCTGACCCACGGTGCTGAGCTCGCGTGGATGCACATATTTTCACATTGCAAACCTCAAAGCGAATGTTGATGCCAGTTCCATGCCACATGCAAGTATCAAACCCAAACACAAGTGTGTTCATGCTGCTGATGAACGTGGCTCATGTTCCACGAGTACAGGACTTTTTAAACTTGTGATTAATCCAAATAAAAAGACTGGATTTACCAGCTGAAGGACCATCTCTTCACCCCTGCTACAACCAAGCGCTTCAGACGAGCCGGTAGCCAGAGAGGGGACACACCTGAGCTCAGAAGTCTGACTGATTGCCCATAGTGGAAGAGGGAAAATAAAAGCTGGTAATCCCCAAACTGTGTCACCTCAAGTGACCAGACCAGAACACAGATGGCAGTGATATATACAGAACATAAAAAACTTTACAGTGTAATTAAAGATGAAAAAGGTGTGGAGGTGTTTATTAGATTAAAAAAAATTTGATGCTCGCTAGTAGCAGGTGTTATATGACAAGGTGCTAGAGGTCATAAAGTGACATGTGAAACATTAAAATTGTGGTGTAAATCCTGGTTTTCCTCCTTGTATGAATCACAGAGTGCTCCTTTGATATAGTTTCTCACTGATATACTAGTTCAAAGTTCTCATTGATATACTAGTTCAAACAGATCAAAAAGTGATTATTTTTTTTTCTGCTGTATTGCATGGTACTGTCCGAGGGGGTGTTGAAGCATTTAGCAACCAGTTACTTCATGTGCAAGAACATAACTCCTCCTCTTAACATTTAATAAACAATGAGAAAGAGACTTACTTCTAAGTAAACCAGAAGTCCACTCAGGCCAGTGCTAAATTAGGGAGGAACTGGCATTTCTGCCTGATAATTTACTCCTCAAAATTCTGTTTAAAATAGTAGGAGTTGCAAAGGAAGCCTCAGAGCCATGGGCTATCTATCCTTCAAGGATGTGTTTCTATTCCAAATCCTAGAGTGTCATTTTCTGTTCAGTTCACACGTGAATTTGAATCTTTTAAGATTAACGTGTTCATAACCAGAATTTCATAAAGGTAAGATAAATACCTGGAATTTTCATTATTTTTGGCCAAAAAATTCTAAGACCGCTCTCGAGCCTCTAGAGTGTGTGAAAATAAGACTTCAGAACAGCTGAACCTCTCTTCTAACCCCAGCTCAATCTTGAACCCAACAAAACTGAGACTAAAAACACATCTCAGATCTATATAGTGAATATAGCTGCCAAAAGAAAAGACTTTCTATACTCTGATCACACAAAGTTTTTGAATTTGCTCACTACAGATTAAACTGAGTGCATGGGCAGTGTGCCTCGTCTCTGCTAAGCTCAGCCTATGCCAAGGAATAGATCTGTTCTGAAGACTCTTTGCAGAAGGTGGCACAGGCAGTGAGCTGCCAGGTCAACCACCTGCACGGCTCGGCCACGCCGCGACTACCGCAGGGAACGCCTGACTCCACGCATCACAGCCAGGCAGGTCTCCATGTATTTTTCGTGCCAGCAACCCAAAGGTTGTTATTCTAACCCTGGCGCTGACAGATGTCGGTAAGAAATCTGGTCAGGTCCACCGGCTTCGGGCTGGCAGAGCCACCCTGCGCATCCTCGTCCCGGTGCCTGTATCCTCCTGTGCCAACCCTGCAGAGGGACGTTTGCTGGCTTCGTGTTGCCTTTCAATGTCATGCTCCAAATGGTGACAAGAAATGCGTTTTAAAAGGGTAATACTTGCTTTTTTGCAAAGCAAAGAATGTTTAGACGGTTATAATTGCTGAGTTTGTGTGCACAGTAATCTCCGATACATAGTGCACATGATTTTCCTGCTAAGGTAGAGTCAACAAACGTACTGAGTTGCAGTGCATATTTCTGTCCTGTGAGCTGAAATTTTACTGTATTAATGGAGAAGAGTAAAACAAAGATTCTTCACATTTCAGCATTCCTGCATACACAACAATTTAGGGAGCTACAGTAGTGACTGTAACAACTCTGAACTGAGTGGTTATCAAATTAACAAGAGCTGAACAAAAATATAAATCAACTCTTGCTGTAGTGTAATTAAAATAAAACCTGATTTACCGTGTAGTTTAATGCAAAGAGAAATGAAATACAGACCATATTTTTTGTACACTACTTTCCACTCTCTCCGTAATTAAATGTTATTAAATAAATGAGTAAATTTATACCATTATTCAGGTGTTGTCTTTACTACAAACTATGACTCACACATCAGACCAGCACTGCGAATTAAAAGAGATTCATCTTCCTTCCTGTGAGGGTATTGCCACACCCTGCTGAATAATCCCATATTTTAAACTGCTCATCAGAAACAGCAGCTGAGGAATGAGAGATGAGAATTGGCTGAAAGGCAACAGGAGGAACAGAGATAAAAACATACTATTTGATTTAGATAGGAGAGAGATGTCATTGCCAACTATAAATGTATTGTTTCATGCCCTCGATGAACCTGTTCCTTTTTACTAGGAAAGACCCCTGGGGAGCTGGTGGTCTGCAGAGCTGCTTTCCCCTGGGCTTCCAGGGCTGCTGCCCATGGACCACAGGCTGCACCAAACTGAATGAGCAACAAGGGATGAAGTACCAGTGCTGTTCAAGTACCCCTGCTCTCAGCTGCATATATGTTGTTTTGCTTTTATTCCTGAGACATATTCACATAAAAACAAAATATCACGCCAGCTTCCAGTTTTCCATAATAATAAGAAGATAAAACTTGCTCCCTTAAAACTATCAGCTGTTAAATGAAGTCATATTCAATGCCCTAAAAAGAAAACGATAAGAGTAATTCAGGACTTACATTGATGTCCTCCAAGTCGAGGAAGTTGAGGATGATGCCATTGCGCTTCCAGATAATGGGAGGCCGCAGCGCCCCGCGGATGCTGCACGTCAGGACGGTGCTCAGCCCAACCGTGATGGTGGTGATGCTGATCTTCTGGTCCTCTGGCAGGCTCAGCCGAACCACCTCTGCAAAAGGAAACAAAACAGGAATAATACCAAATACCACAAAGGGTAGGTGTTCCCCTTCACCCTACTCTGCCTTCCTTCTTCCTCATTCCAGGATGAACTTCAAAGGATTTTGGCAAGGAGATGGATTATCTATGCGATAACAAAACCCTAAACTATAAAGCCAAGCAGGCAACACAGAAATGGAATCTGCCACAATTGATCTTGCTGCATTGTTTTCCTGAGGCATCCAGCAGTAGTTGTGGCACGAGGGCACTAAGATGGGTCCTCTGTCCAGCCTCCTGCAATAGTTAGGTCTACAAAGCAGTCAGCAACAGGAGAACAAGCAAAAGCTCTCCTGCTTGAGACCATCTAGGATTGTTTCTCTAGAGGACTCCTACCAAGATCCTTTGAAAAGGCACAGGAATGACTCGGGTCCTTGCCTTGAAGAAGCAGAATTAAGGGAAGACTGTTGTCACTGAAATACAAATAAACCCAGTTTTAAATTGCTCAAATCACAAAAGCTCCTTTACCAAATGCAGCCACATATTGAATCTGAGATACAGATGTTCTTTTAACCAAGGAGTGAGAAGCTTTGAAATATTTTAGTTAAATTTGAAAAAAATAAAAAAAAAAAATCAGTTATTTTGACTTGTATACACCACCAAAAGAAACACTTGAGGCAGCAGGCCTTACTGAAAACCATGCCAACATCTCTCTGAAACCACACCACGTCCCATCATTTCCTTCTGGCCAATGCTCACAAGATGTGTCTGCATATTTTGCCATGTGTGGCCACAGAGACAGGGAAGCCATTTGATACCAGAATTACCGTGAGTGAAGATTGTCATTATTAAGCATTTCAGCAGCAGTGAGCCAGCAACAGGGCAATCAGGCCACATTGTCAAAGCTGCTGCAGTCACAATTTTATCATTCACACGATGTTTTCTGCTTAGTCTCATTCACAGGCTCCGCAAGAAGAAAGCCCTGAAACTATATTGTATATAAATGCTGAAAAGCGGTCTTTCCATGTAATAGCCCATTGAGAACAATGGGGCATGTTCACAGCACTTTGGTGTTACATTGCTTCAGCCAACTCAGGAACTTGGGCTGGGGAACGAAACACCCTCTCCTGGCCCCAAGGCCCCTCCTTCCTCCCGTCCACTGGCATTAACTGTGGTAAAACAGGGATCAAAGAGACCCATGCTGCCTCACCTAAGGCCATGTGCTTTGGGAAAAGCCACTTCCAGCAGTGCTGACACTATAAAATGGCATAGGGGGTCAGGTTACTCCCTCCCACGAGCTAGCAAAATTACTCTTCATCCTACTTGCTCGCTTCCCATCTCTGTTGTTACGACCCGCACAAGATCTGTGTATCGCTCACAGTGTATCTGCGTTGGTAAGATCTAAATGCTACGTACACTTTCTTCCAGACCTCTGAAGAAGCGCTGACTTTCAGTGAATCCAAACACTCATTTTTATCATGTCAGTTCACAGCTTAAGATGTGATTTCGCCTTAAAAGTTAACAGGTTTGGTGGGAAAATCTTGCATGCGTTTATGGGGCTTGCACTATGGAAATGCAGGGAATAAAAATAAACAACCCCAGTATCTACTTTTGCAAGCATCATTTTACATCTCTTCACATAACCTCTAATTGAAAAATTGCTTTAACCTCTCTTGAGTAGTAAATCTGTTAAATCGGTTCACTAAAATATTCAGTCTCTTTCAGTAGCCTTGCGAGGCCTGGAGGGACTCACTTCAATGCACTGGTCTAGCAACTGGTTGTGAACACTTAGTGCAAATCTTGCTTGTGCAGCAGGACCCAAGCAGCTCTGCATCCTTTTCCTTCCTGCTTCTTCCACCTAAGTGATAAGTTAATTGAACGTGCCACTAATTGTATTCACCACTGTAGATCTGAGGCTGACTTAGGGCTGCAAAGATCAATATAGCATTGCCTGTCATGCCTGCCAGCGGCTAGCCATTCTCCCACTTAATATTCCTAGTGCTATTTTAGAAAGAATACAAGCTGTTGTAAAGAAAAGGTAGCTAGAGTTTTGATATATGGTTGATCAAAAATAGGAATGTTTGACCAGCTGAACCATCAAGCAGTTTCTGCACCTGAAACCTTGAAATCTGCATGGGGAGATGGAGGAAGATTGGGAAGAGAAGGAGAACATCACCCAGCACCCAAGGTCACGGAGTGTGTGAGCAGCAAAGCAAGGAATAGGTAATACATCATTAAATCACATCACCCTCAGGTACCTGCTGCAGGAGATCAGAGATGTGGCAACTCTGGGCCCATAGCCGGGGTGATGTCCCATCCCACCACCCTCATCCCACTGCCTGAAGCATATAAACAGCACATAGGGGCTAATAATGTAGTTATTTTCTGTGTAAAAGAGAGCTCCTTTTTATGAATAAAATATTTGGAGTGTACATGACAGGATAAAGAACTGATAATTACAATAATTTGTAGCATGGAGCAGGGCTAATGAGGACATTTTTTCTTGAGAAGAAATGAAATAGAGGGTCATTCATTTACTGGAGAATTGTTTTTTCATCTTACTGCTGTTTTCCTTAATTCCCTCTGCTGCTCCTCACACTGCTTTGAGTTCCTTGGCTCATGCTGGGCTCCCATCAGCTCCCTCTTCAGCAACATTTTTTGAGTGCTTTATTATAGGAGAATTTAAGGCTCCCTGCCCATCTTTCAAATGACAGCTAAAAAGGCTTTGGTTTTACATTTTAGAAGCACACTAATGAAAAATACATTAACTTTTAATTAAGAAGACACCTTGCATAGCTGCCATTCTTGGATGAACCATAACAAACCAAGAGACGACTTTTTATGTTAAAGCATGTAATTACTACACACCACTTAAACAATACACACACACTCCTTTTTTTGCGTATTTCTATGGAGTATGTTTGAGGGCATCTTATTACTGATACATCAGAGAGCACCTTATTAACATGTAAAAGCCTTTCTACTGATACAGGATTATTCTGTGTGGCTTTAGTCATTGCTTTATTGTTATCTGTAGAAAAGATTTCCTTACATAACCAAGTATATCGGGGAGGAAACAGGGACTCCCTAAGAGGATGCAAGGGCTGGGCTTTTTAAAAATCTTTTTAAAAACTAAGAATCTTGTACTTAAGTTATAGCATTTAGACACATTGATGTTAGTTGGATTATTTGTACAAATTATTCAAGTCACCATAATGATTTTGTGTAGAGCCTCTAGATTAAGTATTGAACACCTCTCATTTTATTTTTAAAAACCTTTAGTAGATAAAAGGATTTTTACCACGCATATAAAACTGAACAGAACAAATGGGTAATAGTAAAAGTGCACTCCCTTATGGAACACAGGCTGGAATGGAATTTGGTCCATTTGATGTTCATTTGGAAATTCTGCAGGATGAGGCATGCAAAACAGCTTTCTATATTCAATAGATTCAACCAATATCAGTCCTAGCTGATCATATTTACCAAGTCATGTCAAATGTGGCACTCTTCTCTGGGATTTCAGTTGAAGCAACTCTTCAGTCTATTCTAGACAGAAATAAACAAAGGTTTCTGCCAACTACTCTGCCATCAGAGAGAGATGCTATCATCAGAGAATGGAATGCTATCAGTATTGACTCAACATTTAGTAGTTCAAGATAGGGGCGAAGCCTTTATAATAATCACCTTTAGGAAGGAATGGGTGCCTCTGTATCAGAGGTGCAGGAGTAATCTTCCATCAGGTACTGCCCCAAAGGTAGAACAAGTTCAAGGTCAGTGACAGGCGGCCAGGACAGGCAGACTCTCCTTTGGCGACGGCAGCAGCTCAGCGCCGGCAAGCTGTGTGGCTTCAGGAGTCGGGGCGGTGCCACCTTCAGACCTGTCCCCCCCATTCCGGAGGGCGAGGGGTCACTCCCTGCATGCCATGAGGTTACTCAGGGGAAGGATCGCTCTGCCCCGTCCCTCACACCTTTTCTCTCTGCTATTCTACTCAGTCTGAGAGAGGCTGCGGAGCACTGTGCACCTTTGGTGACCCAGGTGTAGCCATTCTGATGTCCTTATGTTAAATTCCTTGCAATACCAGGTCTCACAGTGACACAGCTGAGAACGTGAAGCCTTACTAATTCCTTTTCTTGCTAAAGGTGTCAAGATATTGTCAAACATTTTCCTCAGCCCCTCCTCCATTAGAATTTTATTTCTTAAGGTGCTAAGCTGGAGTTGCACTGCACCTTTGCAAGCTGTGCATACTAATGCGAGCAGGTATTACTTGTTGTGCTGCTTTATCATGGAAATCTTTTTCTCTGCTGTCATTTGCAGCCCGCCAAAGGCAATCATAATTTCACAATGAAGACATGTATAATTGAGGTCATTATAGGGAGCAACCTGGAATGAGCATCTATGGAGAAAAAACTCATTGATTTAGCACTGCGTGGAGACAATTTACATAGTAAATGTCGGTTGCCTGCCTGCCTTTGCTCATGCTACTCTACATACAGAAACAGATTTCACACTTTAAAAAGTGCTTAATATCATTAATTAGATCTTTTCCCTTAAATCTAAAGAAAATATACTTTTTAGTACATTGTTGCCACCTTTAATCATTGTTACATTTGTTCATGAGTATCTTGCCTCTCTAAAACAGAACATGGAGCAACTGGCTCTATTGCTTAGATTCTGCTTAGGGGACAAGGCAATACTTTTTTAACCCTGTAACTTGCTCTCAGTGAGGAGACAACCAAAATGTAGCCTTGTTTGAAGCAATGGGCAGATGACTTTCAAACAAAGTCTCAAGCCCAGATTCTTGCCCCCAAATTACTGCTCCTAAGCAAAACCACCTTTTGTCTGTGAACCGAAGCATGGATAACTCAGGCCTAAATACATCATGTTTCTCCAGCAATGGTTCAAGTCAGGATTGGTTTAATGGGATGAAAACTTTAGCCTCCACTCAATTCCCCAAGTCCTGCAGCTGTGTTTATGCACTGCATTGCATTCGTAAAATATGTTTCTTGCCTTGTG